CCGATTAAGTTTTAAAAATTCGTATAAAATTCATTTCTTGGAATATGAGTATAAAAATTTCCCAAAGTGTTAATAAAAGTGTCCTCTTTCCAATGAACCAACCCGTTTTGAAAAATAACTTTTAGTTTTTGAAAAAACAATATTTGAAGTTTTGATAAAATTTTCGATGTTGCAATTTTCGCCAATTAAATTTTAATAATTCGTATAAATTCGATTTCTTGGAATATGAATATGAAAATTTCCCAAAATGTTAATAAAAGTGTCCTCTTTCCAATGAACCAATCCGTTTTGAAAAATAACTTTCAGTTTTTGAGAAAACGATATTAGAAGTTTTAAGATTTAATAGGCTATTTTCGCCTATTAAATTTTAATTAGATGAGGGAGTTTGATCCATGTTGACCAGTTATTTTTTATATAACAAATTCAATAAAAAGCAATACTTTTTCTGGTCTTTTTCAATTTATTGTCTAACCGGTTTCGGCGTACGCCATCATCAGAGATATTAGAAATATAGATTAGATTTTAGCAACTTATTTTCCATTTAGTTGTTCATATAAACGGCTTCACAAAGGTATACAAGTTAAAATTATAAATATGAACACATTAAAACTCACGTTAAAAGTTAAAATGTACACGTTAAAATATAAAACAATACTAATAAAACTTGGATTGACGGGCACTAATGGGATGGATACATAAAAGAGACAAAGAGTTGTTCTTTGGTGACAAAGAACAACTCTTTGTCTCAAATAAAATAAGTTGCTAACATCTAATCTATATTTCTAGTGTCTCTCTCTGATGATGGCGTAAGCCGAAACCGGTTAGACAATAAATTGAAAAAGACTAGAAAAAGTATTGCTTTTTATTGAATTTATATTATATATTAAATTTTAATAATTCGTATAAAATCGATTTCTTGGAGTATGAATATAAAAATTTCCCTAAATGTTAATAAAAGTGTCATCTTTCTAATGAACCAATCTGTTTTGAAAAATAACTTTTAGTTTTTGAGAAAACAATATTTGAAGTTTTGATACAATTTTCGATGTCGCAATTTTCATCGATATCTTTCAAAATTCGCTATAGAATTAATTTCTTGAAGGATCCTTGTGAAAATATCGCCAATTATTAATTAAAGTATCCTCTTTTTAATGCAACAAGCCGTTTTGAGAAATCACTTTTAGTTCTTGAGAAATAAATATTTGAAATAATCGATAAATCTTTCGAATATTGCAATTTTCACAGATTAAGTTTTAAAAATTCGTATAAAATCCATTTCTTGGAATATGAGTATAAAAATTTTCCAAAGTGTTAATAAAAGTGTCCTCTTTCCAATGAACCAACCCGTTTTGAAAAATAACTTTTAGTTTTTGAGAGAACAATATTTGAAATCTTGATAAAATTTTCGAATTTTGCAATTTTCGCCGATTAAATTTTAATAATTCGTATAAAATCGATTTCTTGGAATATGAATATGAAAATTTTCCAAAATGTTAATAAAAGTGTCCTCTTTCCAATGAACCAATCCGTTTTGAAAAATAACTTTTAGTTTTTGAGAAAACAGTATTTGAAGCTTTTGATAAAATTTTCGAATTTTGCAATTTTCGCCGATTAAATTTTAA